ACAATGGCATTTAGTTTCGATCATACATTTCGTTCTCAGTCCCTGTTTTAAAATATTAATATTTAATATTCTTTAAAATATACATACATACATACATATGTACACATGCATGTATGTATATGCATTTACAAAAATTAGAAGTTTGAATTTAAGTACAGAAACTAATGTTTTAATTTACTTTTCTTGTCTCCGTCTACTCAGGCAAGCGGTTAGGTGTACATAGTCGCGTACACTCTAGACATAAAAAAATAATTATAAAAAAAAATTTTCTCACTGAAAAAATATTTATCCTCACCAAAAAGATTATACAAGAAGCTTTATGTCGCATTACCCGGGTGTTTTTCGTTTAACCGGCACCAACATATGTATATTACCCGGGTACCCGGGCAAATCGGGTAATACCCGACTACCCGGGTAATAAAAGCCCCGGGTAATCGGGTACCCGGGTACCCGGGCATTACCCGAATTACCCGGGCACCCGGGTAATACCCGGGTAACCGGGAACCCGGGTATCATCAGCCCTATTTAAGACCCATGGTTTCTTGTAGATTACGTTTTTGCTATACGATTTTTAATTTTTTTTCATCCATACAAATCAACCCGCCCTATTGTACACCCCTAGCCATGATTGCCACAAAAACGTTAGGCCTTCACTTCACATATCGCTAATTAATGTAAGATAAATATGTTTAATTAGATTGCTACTACCCTAAGAAATTAGCAAAAAAAATGTGGTGGAAAAAAATGAATGAATGAATCTATAGAGTACTGCATTTAAGTCTAACGAGAGCCTTTAATTTGGGCTTGTTTTACCTTTAGGAAGCGAAATAAGCATAAGTTGCAAACAATATCTTTTTGAATTTTACTACTATCTTACTGACCGACGATATTTTAAAAGAATTTTAATTTTTGTTAGGTTTTGCTTTCGTTTTCTGCAAAAAAAATAAAATTTAAATCAACGTTAGCTTTTGCGCATTATTACCCTTAAATTGAATGGGCTATAAAACTGTATAAGTACTAAGTAAACAAACACTAACACTTCTCACAAAAAAGTTTCAAATTTCGATGCAAATTTGTTAATTTTCTTTTAGATTTCTATAAAGTTTTAAAATGGCTTTATATGAGTTTTGTTAGAAAACGAAATATATTTTATTTAAAAATTCTAAAAGATAAATAAATAAACAGAAGTGTCAAACAATATCACTTTGGAATGGTGGTGCTATTGATATGACCGATACTGTAAATATACTATTTTGTTCTGCCCTAAGTATGGCAAATAGCCAATCGCAGACAGTAGCAGTGGCCGCAGCTGCGACAAAATGTAAAGTGGACTACTGCGTCTGTTTTATTTATTTGTGCCAATTGTTATCAGGGTACTATTGTCGTAT